CACATCACTTAGACTTTCACAATGCTTGCTACCTATAACTTCAGGCTTCTGTAGATTAACTATAGACAACTTCATGTGGACCCAAGGACTACCATCCAGCTGTTTGGGAATCACTGCAGTAGAGCATTCTCAGCCTTTTTGTAAAGCTCATGCTGCCCATGATGAGGACAGAACTACAGTGAAGGTCTGTGTGAGGGAGAATGCTCTGGCCCTGCACGGCACTGCGGGCATTCTGGTTCCTGCTGAGATCAGCAAGAATATTTGTCCAGCTTGTTTCACTGCTAGGTGATTTCTATGAAAACACATACAAATAGTAGAGCTGCATGGGGCAGCAGAGCTCTGTAATGTCCTTGTGCTGCTCTGGAAGGCAGATGAACCAGGCCCAGCATTCCAGCTTGACCAAAACCAAATCCTTTTAAGTATTTCCTCCCACCATGTCCCAGTGCACTTTAGAATTAGCTCTAACAGTGTTAATACAACATTATTTTCACCTTTCTTCCTTCCCTTCCCCACAACAAAATAATTCATATTCATTTTGATAAAAATAAATAATTTAAAAATAAAAAAAAAAAACATTAAAATTATGATAATGATATTGTTCATATGTTTATGACAGTACAGATGAGAGAAACAAATGGAACATTTTATAACTCTGATTTAACAAGATTCATAACTGAAACACTGATGTCATGTTTTGGCTGTAACAACATGAATGGTCTTGACAGAGTTTTTGTTCACTGACATAAGAACCTTGATATTATTGGACCTATTACTTATTCTCAGCAAGACATCTTCCTTTCCTGGTCATATACTGTAGAAGTCACGACCACACAGAAGTCACACAAGTAAAACTACTCTGAAGACTGGATTTTCCCCTAGCTGCCACAATTCATGTCATTTATCTTCTTAAGTTCTTGCCAATAGAAACCCGTGACTATTTACAGTGGCGGAGAGAGAAAGACTTCCCGCTGAGCCATATATTCCCAAAGTGTTGTAATCTGTCTTCAGATTGCTAAACTAATTCATATTCAGCCTCGTCCTGTCAACAGTTTACAGGCTGGTTCGGCCCAGTTCCGTGACTAGCGGGGCAGAGGGATTTTGCAAAATCTGTGCCTCCGGAAAAGGGAAACAGGGGACCCCAAAATAATTAAAAACAGTGGCAACGATCTGAGGAGAAACAAACTAATTTACTAAATATAGTATCGGAATGCAAGATAACACACTGTAATGCAATATAATTAGAATTGAAGCTAATAAATCAAATATAATGAAAGAGAGAATGCCAAAAGGTGGATAGGCCTCACCATAATACTGCAGTGAGATGCGCAGTCCAGTTGAGCAGCAGGGAGACAAAAAAGAGCGGACAAAAAAAAAGCCGGCGAAGAAGAGCGCATCAGGTGACTTTGCCAGGAGTTATGTCTCCTCTCTGACTGCAAAGCCCCCTGGGGAATGTAGTTCTTCTTCTCTTCCAGACAGGTACTTGAGAATGTTAATGCTCAGAACTTGAGCATGATGTGGAATACCGCTAACCAATAATCATAAAACCATGACACATCCCTTCTGTCATTTAACAGCTACAGAAATGTTTCAGTGCTTTAGTTACTTCCATCTCTCTGAAGACTTATGTCTCCTTTTCTAAAATTTAAATGTTTCACTTATATTAAAATAAAACATATGCTAAATTTGAAGACAAACATCAGCGACTGTATCAATGCACTGCCATCTTGCCATGCCAGAATCAACTGACTTGAAACATTTGCTCAGCGTTTTATAATCAAAGAAATGTAATTCTTTGACAATCTACTTTACAAAATGTACAGAAAGTGTCAATTCAGTCAACCTGAAAACTGTTCCTGTTTTTCAGAGCTACTAGCCTCTGAATACATCTTTCAGGAAAGCCAAGTGAACACAGTTAGAACCAGAGATAACAGACTTATTTGTATTCAGATCCTCTAGAAACAAATATAACATACTCAGGTGCTGCTACAAAAATAGGTATAGTTGCTTTTCCATCAGTTACACAAGAAATGTTCCGAAACACCATATAGGCATCATTAATCCTTTTTCTTGTGTCTTATCCTCAAGAGTATCCCATTCCATTTCAATGATCCCTTCCAGGTCTGTAAGAATCAATTTGAAGTAAGATCTACTTCAGTCTATTTCAGTAATGATTATTTAATAGAAATATTTTACTGTTCACTAATTCAACATACATTTTGACTGAAGAACACAACTGTAACTGGTGCTGTTTATCTCTAGTGAGACATGAGCTTCATTAAGAACTGATCTTGGGTCATAGTACTAAATTACTTCAGGATATTGGATATTTAGATTTATTCAACTTAAAACAAATACCATAAATAACATCATTTAATATTGGAATCTTAGAAAAACCGTATTTTTATGGTATGGGTCCATAGTTACATTCTTCAACGTAAAGGAAATCTTTGCAGCCATGATCTTGGATATTAAGAGAGTGAAAAGGTACAGATTAATCAATAATGGTATGAATGATAGCTCTTGTGATGTATATTTGGGACGTAGGTTTATTTAGAAGTAGTTCAAAATACTGACTCTGGAATAACTATGCATGTGCTGTTGAATAACAGCCTAGGAATTCAAGAATTTTTGTCTTCATTTTCATTTCTGCCACTCTCTTTTGCATTGTTTTCACCTGAACGATCTGTCCTTATAGAGAGGTTCCTTCTCATTTCAGTTTGTGAGTAAAATCACTTGGATTGAGACAAAATTTGTTATTTTATAAGGCAAAATGCCTTGGAAAGTAACAGGGAGAATTTCTCTCTATGCTCTGTACATTCTTGGGGCACAAACCATTGCAAGAAAATTAAAAACATCTACTGTCCCCATGGCACTATCTAGCCAGAGTACAACCAATATACAGGTCGTGGAATCATCAAAATTTTCTTTTCTGCTTCACAGGTATATATTGGATTCTTGCAAATAAGCTGTGTTAGATCCCTACTCAAGAAATCTTTTTTGTTTCTTGAAAGTCAACTAATTGTCATGTCTATCTCATTCTTTTTTTTTTTCTTTTTTTTTTCTTTTTTTTTTTATTATTATTTATTTTTTTTCTGGTAAGTTACAATAAAGGTAATAAATAAGCTAGTAATAGAATTTGCAAACTTCCAGAATCTGATACACAGACTATTTCTATAAACAAGGAAAAGAGGATACTTCACTTTTTTTTTTCCTGCTGTGAAATATGTAGAAATAGTAAAAGAAACTAAATGACTTAAATGCTGAGCTGTGTAAGAATCTTGTAAGTGGCTTTCCATCACTGTAACATTACACTTTTTTCTTTCCAGTCTGTGTTGCTATGCATATCTGGTCATTATGTAAGACACAAAGATTACATAAATGTCAAAAGCATGACATAAAAACACCTAATTCTGCAGTCACAAACTCCAAACAGCTTTCTATATGAGAAGAACTTTGCAATCATCAAAATTCAAAAGATGTACCATTAAGCTGTTAACTAAAATTATTTTAATAACTTTTACTATCAGTAGCAGCATCAGCATGAAAAAACAAAAAAAAAAAAGCATATGATGTGCTTCATGAAAGAATCAATTCAACATGAGTTATACAGCACCCATGTTAACTTCTAAGTGTTAACCTATGAACTCTCAAACATTTCTGTGTTTGCAGTAAACTTCTTCCTATGGTATTTTATTTGCTTTGTTTTGATAAGAAGGTAGTTACCAAATCTTCAAAACTTAAAAAATATACTTTGAAATTGAAATGGATGGTACCAGATGAAGAATAATTCACATTTTTCAAGAACTGGTGAAAGCACTTAACTAATTTAATATAATGACTATCTAACTACAGTGGCTAACAATGCACAGATAAAGAATTTGGCATTTGTTTGCACTCAAGGGGATAAACTGCACTCCTGATTCAAAATACTTTGCTCTGTATGCAGTAAAAAATGAGGATTTCACCCTCTCCTCTAGAACAGCATTTGAATACATGAACTTCTGTTGTTACCGCTTTATCACTTAAAATCTAAGAAATTGTGAAAATAGTATTTATTGTCAGCTATTGTCACAAGGGAAGACACTATAATACAAATGGCAAAATTATGTGATCACAGTAGAATTAGAAGAATATATGGTGACAAAATCATTTACGCATAATAGTTGGCAGCTAAAAAAGGTTGGGAAGAACATGAACACACAGTGAGGCAAGAAGGACTCATCATACTGAGGGGCATTACCATGTATAGGTATTGGATACTTAACTGGATGCAGTGGAAGAATATTTTGGGATTGCACAAGAGTTAATATGGGATGTTTAATGGCAGAAACAAAGGCAGGGAATGACTGGAGGCTAGTAAGGTCTGGTAGAGACCATAACTAGGGGCAGCTACTGGGTAGGCTGTGTCAGCCCATCTCCTGGAGAGATGCACATTATGTATGTATTTCCCACTACCATGGTTTATCCACTATTATGATTTACCATCATAAATCAGTCAAAGTGTAACAGCATAAGGCTGCTGGTGCTGTTTGTGGAAATGCTGAGTGCCCATCTGTGCTGACCTTCGTGGCCACACGTGTATGTGCATTATATGTGTTTTTGTGTGCTTATTGGGACTGCATGCTCAGTCTAGTTACCAGCTAACCTGGGGGCATGGAGCTGTGACTGCCTCACCTCTATCCACCTTCTCCACCCTTAACTTTTTGACAGTAAATTCCTAAACATCATTTTTTTTTCCAAACTTTTACTGAAAAATGGTTTTCAGTAAAAATATAAGCTAAATTTACCCTAGTATTTGTTAGGAAACACGATATTTTAAACACGCTTCTTTTCTTTGCACTTATACATTTCCCCTTTTCCTGCTTCACAATTCACATCGATATTCCCAGTACAGAGGCTGGACTGTTAAATTAAATAATGAAAATATTTACATGGCAAATAAGCTAGAAGCAGCAGCATTTCTGAGTGATCTCTTCTGTTATTGTTTTATGTGTACTCACACTTAAGGCGGTTGGTCCTGGAGGTCCTGCTTCTCCCTAGTTAAAACAGGAAAGAGAATAAGTCAGCAGTCTCTTTAGTTCCAATTTTTAACCTCTAAGACTTTTAGAGGATACATATCATAGTGTAAGTAAATTCAGTAAAAATATCAAACATGCTCCTTATTACAATAATATGTGGTTAAAGAATTTTTTGGGGGTAGTAATTTCATAGGTATACACAGTTTACCACAAGTTAAATAGAAAAACAAAACAAAAAAATAGGCAGGCTTCTGCATAAATTAATCGGTTAAAAAAAAGCAATCCTGCAGAGAAATTTGTGTATGTGAAATTACAAGCTAATGCTTAAGGTGGCTTCTGAAGTCAATGTGACTGCTCCCGTATAGTAGAGACATCTGACTATGTAAAATGTTCACAGAATTATCTTGTTGAGTTCTGAATTTCACTGTAAGACCTTCAATTGCAGTCCAGCAAACGAATCAGAGAGTTCCAAGAGAGCAATTCAGAACATCTAATTTAGGCTTCTGATCTGAATTGCTTTCAAAAGGAGATTCCGTCCATTTTGTAGTGATAAAAAGTGTTGATCAGTATTTGCAGTACATGTATTTATATGTAGTTACAGTTCATCAGTACTCATATTCTTTAATCATTAAAGTAGACAAATGGCAGCAATGAATGGTTCACCACACATAGGTAAGGCAGTGTATTATTGAAGAAATACCATGCACACTCACATATCAATGTAAGCTTAGAATAAAAATTAGTACCTTTTCTCCTTTAGGACCAGCCACACCAGGACTACCAGGGTCACCTTTTAGTCCCTGGTCAAAAAAGAAGAATGTATATTTGTTGGCATCCACAGAAAAGTGTTGGACAAATTGCTCTACTGCTGTGAATCAGTATATACATAAGCAGGTCTGAAAGTAATTCTTCCTATTTATTACTATGGAAAATACAACAGAAACAGAGAGCACAATAGCACTGTTTGATAGACAAAATTCTCAGTTACAAAACACTATTTTTCAACACAGTAATCATCATTACCTATGCATTTTTTTGCCAGCAATGAACAAGAGCCTGAATACTCATAAGCATCTGCAACTGTGGAGGTGATCTGCTGTCACTACTGCTGAAACATGCCACCCAGCACCTCACTGTGCTCACGTCCACTGTTTGGTCTCCATAAAAGTTCAGCAAGCATCGATGAATGTCAGCAGGTGCCATTTTTTCATTACGGAAGAATTCAATCACACCCTTGCTTCATATGTACTTCCATGTCAAATGCCATTTTGCCAGACTGCCCCTCTGCTGCCACTTGTTGTATGGCAACAAAATGTAACGGAAGGTTCAGCCTCTACTGTCATACCACCAAATTCTGCCTCTGACATCATGGGCTGACATAATGAAGTAGGAGACACTACTTTTGGAGCAGTGCTCAACTAAATAGGCTTTAAAGTATTAGGAAATTAATAATAATATAATCTCAGAATTCTTCATTTTCATTTTCCCCCTCTACTCGTCTACTGTGAGGCCCCATCTGGAGTACTACATCCAGGCTTGGGGCCCCCAGTACAAGAAAGATTCAGAGCTCTTGGAGGACCACTAAGATGATCAGAGGGCCACGGAACTGGGCTTGTTTAGCTTAGAGAAGAGAAGGCTCTGGAGAGACCTCACTTTGGTTTTCCAGTACTTGAAGGGAGCATATTAACAGGAGGGGGTACATCTGTTTACGAAGGTGGATATTGATAGGACAAGGGGAAATGGTTTTAAACTGAGACAGGGGAGGTTTAGGTTAGATATTAGGAGGAAGTTTTTCACACATGGCGACATGCTGGAACAGGTTGCCCAAGGAGGTTGTGGATGCCACTTCCCTGGAGGCATTCAAGGCCAGGCTTGATGTGGTTCTGTGCAGCCTGGTCCAGTGGTTGGCAACCCTTCCTGCAGCAGGGGGGTTGAAACTAGGTGATCATTGTAGTCCTTTTCAACCCAGGCCATTCTATGACTACATGATTCATTCTATGATTACAAACAGCAAAATAGTCACTGAATATGACATACATCTTCAACTGAAAATTAAATACACAAAACCAAACTATCTACCTTGATTGTGCCCCTTTAGAGCAAGCAGCATGCAGAAATGCAAAGTTCTCAAGTATCAATTGGTAAATGTCTTGTGTGGTCAACAAATATAAGAAGGATGCCAACCTCATACCAGAAGTAAAGGTAGACAAAGCTCTGTGGTTTCTATGTTGCAATGAGCAATGTTGAGCTGGTGAACTGCAACAGGGTACAACTCAGAGAAGCTGCCCCATACTCCAACACTACTTTTTACCAGTTTGAAAAAGGAATTATCTAAATAATCAAGCCCTTCATATCTTTCCCCAGTTTTGTTTTCAGATGGAAAAGCAGAAAACGTTATCTACTCCTACGTATTACAAGTGCAGACAACTATTTCACTAACACATCTCACCAGAAGCACCCTAGAAAGAAATATTTTATCCCTCATAATCTGTGCAGTCTTTTTGCTGCAAAGTATATGAAAGAGTGGGAGGTTTTGAAATATATTCAGCAAATTCAAGTCACTCTGAAGTAAGGAATGACTTTGCTTCTGATGTTGGAAAAACCTATGAGGAGCTGCTTGAGGCAAGAGGTCTCTCCTGTGCATTCTTTCTGATCACTATTTTAGAGACATGGCGTAGAACACTGATGATGCAAGTCAGTGAGAGCTCTATGAGTTCAAAGATTTTACATAAAAACCAAATAACAATAAGGTAGGCAGTACAGGCACTACAGATCATAATTAGACACTTAATAAGTAGGCCAATATTGTTACTACCATGGAGATTAAACGGGTCTAGGATAGAAAAGATTCATCTGCATCTGAATTAGGGTTTACTAACTTAACTTCTTCCCAGCCCCCTTTTTGCCCTTGCAAGCTCTGTTCCTTGCTTAGCAATAATTGGAAAGATAGAGACAACTGGCATGAAAATGATAAGCAACATCTGTGCCTTAGTGGGTACAGAAACATTAAATCAGTGAGTGTTCTAAATACTGCATATTTGTGCAACTTCACTTCCTGCTAAAATTGCATTAATTCACCATCTGGAAGGAACATCATTTAGAACTGTATGAGCATTTAAGTACCCACTTTGGATTAAATTTGTGGTTGTTGTAAATACCCCTGATTTAGCTTTGATTTGTTCTTTATTAAGCTTGCCAAATATGTAATAGTTAAACCAGAAGTAGTTTTGCTGTTTGAACTTAAAAATGTAACAGGCAGATGGATTCAAAAACCAAGCCAAAAAAATTTCTTGCTTGTTATGATTTGTATACTTATGGCGTAGTCTTGATATTCTCTCCATTTACCACATTTTACTTTTCACCTCCTTATGAAAGATGGCATGAAATGCTCCATATGCTGAAAAAGCCACCAAAGGATTTTCAGGTATGCAAAACATGTGTATCTTGCTCAAAGTCAGTGTTAGTGAATCAGCACTGTAACAATAGATTTGACCCTAAGGAATAGTTCTGAGGTTGTATATTTACAAAAAAAAAAAAAAAAAATTGGGGAAGATAAAAATAAATGCATCTCACAGGAGATATAACTGTATGTGTCTCTATTGAAAAGACAACTGCAGACAAAAGATACTGAACTGAAGCCATGGGATGTCAAACTATAAACATCATTTTTTTCTAATTGTTATGTTTATAGCTTTTAGCAGTGGATCTTGGTGAGGTATGCACTTCGACAGCTACTGCAGAGACGATGACCACAGAGGTCATCCTCACATAAAAAGAACAAGGGGAAACTACATATGTGACAGCAAGCTTTACAGTGGAGCACAGTTTTTCAGTACTCAGAAAGGTTTCTATGTAATGTACTTAATCTACAATATTTGAATTAGTTTTCCTTTGCAGTTTATATCTCCAAAAAAGATAAATAATATTGGAAAAAAAAATTTCTCCTGAAGTTATCCCATTAGAAGGGTGTCTTGTTCTTTAACACATTATATATCTTTTAAAGATATTATTATCTTAGTAAGTTCCAGACATCATGAACACTTGGAAAAACACATCTGGTATTATATCATGCCTGTTCTTCCCTATAGCCACCCTTTTAAAGCTGCTCCAAGGTTTAGTTGCTGTTGACTGTCTCTGAAATGGCATAAGAAATAAGAATTCCCATATCATGTAATATCTGTAGTCCATAATAGTACAGTACAATGCAGTATCCTGTCTCTGGCAGAGACCAGAACAGGATGCTTCAGTAAAATGGACACAGCTATTTAAACAGATATAATTGGGATGATTTTTATTAGGCTTTCAATTAGAAAAGCTCATTTTCTACAATATTTTAGGAGACAGAATTCAGACTTGAAAGCCACGTGCTAATTTCTATTGATCTAAGATTAACAGATCTGTCAAATTCAAGAACTGAATAAAAATTTCAATAGCTCACATAAGAAAGCATAAAGGAATTACTGAAGTCTATCCTCATCTAATTCTATCTTTCCCAGAACACTGCAACAATGAACATTTGCAAGTTCATGAACTTATTAAAACTCCTCATGAACAATCTACGCATTCTACCTTTTTATCTGCTGTAAGGACTACAGATTTGTATTTCTACAGGTCAAAATAAACATACATCAGGGTTCCCAAATGAATGCCAAAATGCACAGTAAGTGTTAGGACATGCATGCAGGAGTAACAAAACAGCAACATGAGAATAGAAGATGACATTAGATAGAACAAGACAGGGGAGTGAATGTAACAGAAATGCTGGCCAAAAGAGAAATTACTGGAACAAATATTTCACAAATATCAATAAGAATGTAAAGTCAGCAAAGTTGAGTACAACAAGGGAATGAGAAAACTAGAGTCTCTTTGTATAGAAAGTGAAGATGGTGGTGTTTCTTCTGACAGAAGAAATTTAAAGGAGAAGTCATCATATTGATTGACACTACTTTTGACAAATCTGTAGTTAGATTTCTTTCTGATACTATCTTACTCAAGTCTTAACCAGCCTACTAAATCAAGGATTAAAGATTAAGGAAAAGAACACACACACACACAAAAAAACAACAATTCTGCCCTAAAACTGTAAAAAGGATAATGGCTTTATGAATTCTTAAAATCGTGAAATGTTATTAATGGTGTCTCAGCATTACTGGCATAAGATGCAAGAGCTTTTCTATATAAATTTTCCTTTTAGACCAGTGACAATCTCATACAATACATGCTGTGCTCTGGAGTTCCATGGAGAAGAGAAAATAACTTAGTGATCTGACAAATGTTTTCCTTACCAAGTCTGAGAACATTTTATTTGTTCAAAAGAAGTGTCAGGTATAACCAGAGCCAGAACACTAAACAGTTTTTCAGTTCCTATGGTTTTAGTCATTTGGATAAGATCAGAACAGTCAAAGAATTTGAGAGAAAAAGGAAATGAATATTTTCCTCTATGCCAAGTGGCCTTGACTGCAATTCTTTTGTGACAACATGATGATGCACAAACCAATACTCCTAACATGACTAGCAAAAAGGACAAAAGACAAAGAAAATGGAGGATTCTTAGCTTGCTGCTTATGTTTGGGATTCACATCTTATATGCCTGCACTGTCTGAGAAACCGTATGATAAAGGAATTCTATCCAGCAGTAGTACTATTTAGCCTGCCCATCAAACAAAGGAACAACTTAAAACACATACTCTTCTGAATGCTACAGAGAGAAACATGGCTCTTGGTACTTGCACAGGATAAGGAAAATGTCACATAATTTAAAAGAGCCTGCTTCTGTAAATTAGTTTTTGTGCAGACTTAT